AATACCTGTTTGTCTTGCCAGAAATGCAGTGTCTCTGTCATCGCCTGTGAGCTGAAAAGACAGAAAAAAACAATGTTATATTTTCTTGTATAATATATATATATAATATAATCCCATCAACTATCATGTAAAGGAGATGAACAAAGGCAGACATGCTTAAAGTCCAGTCTGTGTGACCACCTTGGCAGCCTCCATACATACAATGGCATGTAATATGAGTGTACCCATGAAGCAACAGAAGGTTTAGATATGCTTTAACACATTTATGATTTATGTGTTAGATAGCAGTGAAATGAATGCATTTCTATAACTATAGTTAATACACAGCTAGTTCTGTGGCCGACAGGCTTGAAAATACTGTAAATAGGGTAGATGTCAAATGTGGTTCTGTGATAGCAATGTGCACTGACAAAGCATTGTACATTATAATTAGTCAGTACAGATTACATAGGGCAATTACCGGAAAATTATCTCTAAATGGTTCCGTCTAACATCATAATTGTTGTATTTGCACCATAAAAGTGTCCATATACAGGCTGAAAATAGCAAGCAATGCAAATGATTAAAGCATCACTAGAAAAAAAATGATGCAATGATAAGACTGTGTGGTGGTTAGTATGGTTGCAATAACAAGCAGTTTTTCTCTGTAGGGAAGAGTTGCTTCTAACAATCAAAAAAATCATATTACAACCAGGCACCAGTTACATTGAGGTACAGGAGGACAATGTCATGATCATGCGCAATGCGATATAAGGAAGAACAAACCTTTATCTCATCGTTCATTTACCCATTCATGGCACAAAATGTTGTGGCTGACCCACCTAACCAGACTCTTGCTAATATATGATATTGTATGACTAAAAACTGGTCATTTAACATCCATTTTTTAAATTATTGTATAATGATTTATTCTGGAAAATATGAATCTTAAAGCTGTTGTAAGTTTTTAATTACTAATATAAAAAAAGATGGTATACTTACTTTACTTGCTTTACTTACTGTAGAAAGGTATTTACAGTATGGACCCCAAACTTCCTTTTCTGGGGTCCCCCGCCAACACTCTTGACTCCTCCTCTTCTCCATGTGCAACCATAGGTGGCACACATGTGGGTTAGCTCCTGTGCGGGTCTGTGTGTGTCCTTTGATACACACAGTGTGGCTCTAGACCAGCCTCCCACTCTCTGCTCACCAGATTTGACTAACAGGAACAGGAGCCAATGAATAGCTGCCACTGCTCTCAGCCAAGCCTGCAAGAGAGGGGAGAGAAGAGAAAAGACCTGCAGATGAGCACAGTGCTGGATTGTTACGGGACTCAATTAAGTATTTAGGTATAGTGTGGGGGGGGGGGGGGTGCGAAACAGCTACTAAAAGATTTTTTTTACCTTAATGCATAAGATGCATTAAGGTAAAAAAAAAAACAATTTGACTTTGGAACCACTTTATGGCAGAACTAAAGGCAAAACTTGTTTTTTCATTGTATGCAGAGTAAAGGAGGGATATAACCCCTGTCATTTTTTTTTTGTTCTGTTTTTCATCTGTGTCCCATTGGGGAGATTTCCCTTCACTTCTGGTTCCATAGCAAAAATGGGAGGTGAGATGAAATTCCATCAAAGTGAAGGAAATCCCTGGTTGTCACCAGGGTCACCATAACTAGTATCACCATTGGAAGATTTCCCCTCTATTACTGTTCTGGGGACAATCCAAAATTTGGAATTTTCTTTTACCTTAACTTTCAGGAAACGGGAACAGAACAAATAGGGTGAATTTCTGTAAGGGGGTACAAAAAGCAATAAAAACCTTATAAGTGCCCTATTTCCTCTCCACTCTATCAAAAACAAACAAAATAAAAATGTTTGCCTTTATTTAAACTTTAGGTTAGTTTTCCAAAAACAGCCAGGGTGCTTTGACAGCCTGGGGTGCTGTCTGTGTTCCCCTGGGTTAGCGCAAGCATGGGACCCAAGTTACTCTGAATCGGCATCATAAGTTGCCATGGTGCAGGCAAGCTGGCCACGATCGCCATAACAACCAATGATGCTGTAAGATCAGAATGCATGGCGTCATTTGTTGCTATGATGATGGTGGCTGACCTGCCCACACCATAGCAACACATGATGCTGATCCAGGGCAAGTGGCTTGCAGGGATGCCCCAGCATTCAGTACTAGATAAAAGTTTGCCTCTATCAGACCTCCTCCACCTACCATCTTCTGCCACGTTGCCGGAGCCAAAAGGTAGGGCTTTGATGTGAAGAACGGACTGTGTGATTGTGGGTCTCTGTGATGGGGGGGTCTATGTGATTGGGAGCTTTGTGATGGGGATGCTGTGTGACTGGTGGTCTCTGTGATGGGGGACTGTGTGATTGGGGGGGGGGGGGGGCTCTGTGATGGGAGGACTCTCTGGTTATGGGAAGGATCTGATGTATGGGGTGACTCTGATGTGGTGGGGGCTTTCATGTTTAGGGGAGCCTCTGATGTGCGGGGGGTTCTGGTTTGATGGAGGGAATCTGGTGTGAAGGTGTGACTCTGATGTGATGGGGGAGACCTCTGATGTGATGAGGGAACTCTGATGCATGGGTGGGAGGGGGGGCCTGAGGGGGCGTGGGGACCTCTGATGTGATAGGGGAACCTCTAACATAAAGTGGGGCTTCTGATAAGAAGTTAGTTTCATCAAGATGTTGTGTGCATTGTCCTGGACTCAGGTTCCCCATTGATAAATAACTTTTACATTTTTTACATTTTAAATTGGGGTGCTTCAAGACTTTGCATACTTTTAAAGGGTGTTGTGAATGTGAAAACTTTGATAAATGCTGTTTCAGAGTGAAAATGAAAATAATTCAGCAAGGTAAAACACTCTTTTTCATTTACATGGGTCTTACTGCCTTACGTTAAATGAGAAAAGCTTTCTTAACATGTTTCAGTTTGATCATTACTAAGCAAATACCAGACAAAAAAGTATCAGCAGTTTTGTAACCACAGAGGGGTGACAGCAGCACACATAGCAGCACGTAACTATGATATGCCTACTGACCTATGAATTAACACGCAAAGGGAAAAAACCCTGCCCTGTACCTTTGCTCTCCGGATGAGAAATGTTTACATAAACGCTGGCTTACATATTGCTAAAATCATTTCCCATGAAAAACAGTCAATATATTAAAAAAACATAAAATAATACTTATATTTTAAATTATTATAAAATAGTCCATTTTCAGTGGTCTATAGCTACATAAGAGAGATCCGTGTTTACTGTGCATATGTCTGAACTTCATATGTATTTTTGGAGGATGTGTTTCAGAGCCATTTGTGTATGTTTGGGCAGAATATGTAATATAAAATCAGTGTCTCTGCTGCACGAAAGCCAAGAAGTGCTGGCAGCCTTGCCTGCTGGACTCCCCCACTTATATTTATAACTTAAAGGGTTAGTACACCTTTACTTACTTTTTCCAAAAAACCTCCCTATGTATTGCAATGTCCTCAATAAATTCCCCCCCCCCCCATCTCTTTCATGCTGACATCTTTAAAAAACTCTGGCACATGCGCATATGCACTGCAGGTATCTAGGACCTGGAAGAGACCAGCAGTGTATATGAGCACACACTAGGATTTCTGTGTGTGCGCAAAAATGCTGCCATCTCATGGCAGGTTACCAGTATACAAATGTGCCATGCATGCTCACTAGCCATGCATATTTGTGGCTTAGAAACACAACTGCCTCCTGGGATGGATGTGAAGTAGCTCTCCCAAGAAGCAGTAGGACCTGGTCTAGGCCAGAAACCCAGAGGTGCTGCTTTGATACACAATATAATGTATACATAAAAGGTAAAATAATAATTTTTAGGTTTTCTGTAAGGGGGAAGAGGGAGGGAGAGGAAGAAAAAAACTTGAGTTTAGTTCCCCTTTATCAAGCTGTGCTCCATTTTGTAAAAGAATGCTTAAAAAGTGTTGCCCCGGAAAATCATGAAGAGCACACAGCCTTTTTTCCTTACCCACACATGTGCAGTCTGCTCTTTTTCACTGTCATAGAATCCTGAGCTGTGTTACAAAACCGAGCACAGCATTTTAATGTTTTGAGGACACTGTAATACATACTGTAGGGAGGTTTGGGCCAAAGTAAGTAAAGGTGAACTAACCCTTTAAGTTATAGAGATAGGGAGGTTTGTGGTTTAAATGTCTTTAACTGAAGCCATGGACCCTAGTACAAACTAACATCTGATATAACAGATAAACAGTATACTGTATATAACAAACGTTAGTAAATTCACACTGGGTTTTTCATCATTCTATTAAAAGTTGTGATTCTACTACAGTGCTACGCGACATATGAGATGCCAGAACACCAGTTCATTGAAGTTTAGCATCCTGAAGGACTAGCATGGTGTAACCCTAAATCCAAAGACTCCAAAATACTGAGCCCTGGCATCACAGATTATTGGTACGCGGAAAGTAGAAAAAGAACCACTTTACACCTGTCTATTAAAACGTAACCTTGATTCTGCTGTGTGGTACATCAGGTGTGGAAAAGTTGATGTAACTATATGGCTGTTAGATTTTGGCACCATTACGTTTCATACTCATAAGGTAGCTACAGATGTTTAAGGGCTAAATTAGTATTAGGGAGAAGGTTTAAGTGCATGTAAACCCTAACAATGGATTTCTATTATTTGTTCCCATTTGGTCTGAAAGCATGTTATGTCTGTTTGATAAATGGAAATAAAAAAATGTTGACCCTACCAGAAATCTAATGAGCTTTCAAGTTCCTGTGCACTCAGGACAGGAAGGATGTTGCTAGCAGGATCACAAGGTGAAATTAAGGAAACAAGGGCCTGAATAAAGAAAAGTAATGCAGCCACTACTTCAAAGGACTGGTATGCACAGTGTATTACCTTTTTTGTTCTTTAGATATGCTTAACGGTTAGGTCATGAACACCCTTGGGATACACAGTTAGGCCTTGTTCACATAGGGCTATTCCATCAGTGCCCCTTGCAGGGCCGTATTTTTCCAGCTAGAGGATACACAGGTGCAGGGGCGGACTGACAACTCATGGGGCCCCCGGGCAATAGGGGATCATGGGGCCCCTGTGTCCTCGCCCAAAACCCAAAAAAGCCTATGAAAAAGCCAATGAAAGGTACCAGGGGCAGCTCATGGGGCCCCCTACTGAGCCCGGGCCCTCGGGCAGTGCCAGAGTGCTCAAATGGTCAGTCCGCCCCTGCACAGGTGTTGCATGCACCCCTGTGCTGCACCCACACCCACATGGATGTCATTTCTGGATAACAACAGAGAACAATGGGACACTGCCAAAGGGATGCATGCAACACCTGTACATCCCTGTATTTGACAGAACAAAGCCCTGCATGGGGCATGCATGGAATTATCTGTGTGAATGAGGCCTTAAGCAGTTTATTTTAAAGGTTAAGGAGTTATGTGTTAGGGTGAAGTTAAAGGTTAAAATGTTACTAAACCTACACAGTAAAATCAGTCTGTATATGCAGGAAAGTGTGCCTGTTATACTCACTGTGGAACCTAAGGGGTTAATCCTCTGTATTGTGTAAAAAGGCTGTTTGATCCTGTCTTCTCTGATCCTCCCCTTCTTTTGCTGTCCCCAATCCATCTTCCATATTTAGAGCAGCAGTGGCAAGTCTGCACATGCTCTATTTGGTGTGTATTGGTAGAGAATTTTTTTTGTTTGTGTTTTTTTGGAGGGTGCATGTGATCAGCACAGGGCCAATCAGCATTGTCCAGACAGAAAGTCTGGGGTTATGCAGCCTAATAGGACAGTCAGGGAGAATTAAAACTCCTCCTACAAGCTTTAACCAGTGCTCTGGACACTGATAGAAGTCACAAGACTGCTATATACTGCTGATGATAAAAGGTATTTAGAAGTTTATATTTACATGCATCTCCATGTTCTGTGTACTGTGGAAGACTGGATACAGTGAATGCAGGGTCCTGGGTTTTGTAACAGCTTAAGGATATTGATACACACATTGTAATTCACAATTAGTTTTGACAAAAGTGGGGTTGCTGCTTTTAGTAAATATGTTTGTGCTGTGTAAACTAATGCAATTGTTTAATTTCTTTTCAAAATATGTAGAGTTAGACAAATACCTTCTAAACAATGAATTAGTGTACAGAGTTCCTCCTGCTAAATTAATTTTTTGATCTGCTGTAGTAAAATAAAAGCTTTTGCATTTTAGAGGTAGTTTTTCAGTCATATGAGTTTTCCTTATACACCTAAAACAAGTCAAACCTCTTGCACTGTTTGCATTAGCACTATACTTTGTACCCATATAAATCAGATTATCAGTAACCTGATAAAAACTGATAGATGCATAGACAGCTAAAAAACAGGAATTTTTTTTAAGTATCTGCAAAGAAATAGTGATTTTCATTATACTGTATATCCCCAGGTATAATTTAATACATATATTTCTTCTAAATAAAAAAATCCACACCACAGTTTAGGGCAGTAGAATGAGGTTGGTCTGAAGCATAAATATAATTCAAAAATGTGATTATGTTCATTCTAAATTCCTGCCGCATGCTTTTGCTGGAGACTTGTAATCACTCTGTCACAGTGTATTGGACATTTGCCAAAGCCAGACCTGAGACAAAATTAATATTACGATATTTAAAAGGCTGATAGTATGAGGATATTAAGGTGAAGTATCCCCATTCTATTTAAAATAGATCCTATGGTTTAGGGAAACACTTGAACTGCATGTGGAGGCTAAAGTGAAATAAATGCTACACTGTAAATACTCATCTGTACTGAGCCACTCAGTATTTTGTATGTGACTTTATGTAGTCCACCTAGAAATGTAAAGAACATTTAGTTTGGGGTTCGGGTGTTGCTTACATTGGGGAAGATTTACTAAAACTGGTGCACTCTGAATCTGGTGCAGCCATGCATGGTAGCCAATCAGTGTCCATCTTCAGATTGTTCAATTAAACTTTGAGGCCCAGGTCCCATACAGCAGAGGAGGCAGTATTTCCTTATTGGTGGCCCTGTACAAAGTTAAATAAATATGCACTATAATTTAATTGAGCTCTACAGTTATGATAACAAGACATAACTTGGTATTGTGCAAAAATGAAATTCCTCATAACTCATGGTTAACACCAAACACCCTTGGGATACCACTAACTTAAGATGATCACACTTGTTTGACAAAAAAAAACCTCTGTAAGCAGTAAAATACGATATTGCTTGAATGCCCTCAGAAATATGTGCTAAATTATCAGATATGAACACTCCCAAACTTGGGCTAGGAAACAAGAAACTCAGGCTGCAGTTGATGCCAGAGAAGATTAAATAGTGCAAATGGATTAGAGTGTTGTTGAGGTCTAGCCGAGCTCAGAATCAGTTCAGAGGTCAACAGGTGAATAATGAAGTATAAAAATTGGAGTCCAGTGTTGTGGCATAAATAGTGCAAGTTGAGAGCACATAGAATCAGGAAACCAGCCAAAATTCAGATCCAGGGAGACAAACGAATCACGGGAGATAAGATCAGGCATAGACTATCCAGAACAGGACACAGGTGACAAGGTCATGTGCCATGGGAGGACAAGAGAAAAGAAGTCACACAGCAGAAAAAAAATACCAGAGTCTGGACAGGTCCAAAAGAACCTCAGGAAACCATTGACACAAGGTACAGGATTACAACCATCCAGCAACCACACAGTTCGAAAGAAGAGGAGGACTCAGAAGAGGGGCAGCTAGGAGGTGGTTAACTGAGAGAAGACCACCCAGCAGATAAAAAAAATCATGCAAGCAGAAAAGCCCAGCATATGATCGACCATAAGGCAGATGACTGACAAATAACTGTGCAGTGGATGGAACACCAGCTGGTGGATGGGTGTCAGGCAACTGACGAGTAAGTAATAGGGAGAACAACAACCCACACAGAAGAGCCCACAGATGAGACAGCTGATCAGTGGTTCAGTACATGAGCAAATGATAGGAGGCCAACCATTGCAGGACCACCCTACCGTACAAGCAGGCCAACCATTGCAGGACCATCCTACCGTACAAGCAGATAGTAAGGATAGTTTTTTAACAGCATACGTAATCAACCATTGCATGCTGGGAATGGTATTTATATTTTAAAAGCACATGGGTTCAGTGTCTTTCCCGGAAGCGGATTGCACCAGACAGGATGGAGGCAGGCTGCCTTGCCTGGCACTTGTTGCCATTGGCCTTGGGTTGGTTGACCTGAGTGCCTGAAGTTAGAGAGAGTGACCCTGGTTTTGCAGCAAGCTGACTGAGGGGAGTTGTCTGCCAAGGCTCTGTCAAGTATTACTGGAGGGTTTTGCTTGGAAGATTGGAAGGAGACAACCACTCTATCCTTGGGCCTTGTGAGTGCTGACATTGAGGAACTTGGGGATGCTGTGTGCTTGTTACCTCCCCTGGGGTTTGATAGTCAGCATGGGTCTGGAAAAAGGGAACACTGGCTAGTGTTCTGAAGAGCTTGTCCAGTGTTGCTACTGCAAATGACTTTGCTTAGCTATGTTACCTTTGAGCTGTTACAGTCTGTCGTAACTGGCTCATACCTGAGGAGTTCAGCCCTGTAACTACTACTGCTAAAGGGATTTTGCTCACTCCTAAACTACTTGCTGCTATATGTTACAATGAAGTCTGCTATCTATTGTCAGCCAAGACTTCTACAGTGCTCAACTAAGAGATCAGCTAGATGTCCTCAGTGTGAATAGTCCCAGTTCTGGAGTATCCTACTACAATTCCCCATCCATATCCCAAGTTCTACAATAAAACTCCAAAAACAAAGATCCCCTAGACTGGTCATTGGAGACAACGAGCTGAAGTGTGTGTGTGTATTTGGCTGCAGGAATACACTGTGCCTGGCTAAAGGGTGAAGTAAAGGGACATCATACAAGCGGCTCTCGCGAGGGTAGCGCTACAAAGGTTACAAATCCAGGTGTACCAGTGTGTTTAAAAGCATAGAAGTTGTATTACCTCTTATGAGATCTGTCTTCTATAAATGGAAGCAGAATATCCACAGTGGGCTAAATAAGGTTTGAAGCAATGTACAATGATAAGTATTAGGGAAGCTTCGTAGGAGAGGAGAGAAAGCCACAGAGATTTGAAATCCCTCCTGCTTTCTATCCTCTCCTTGAAGGGATGACTGTATGGAATAGATGGCTTTTGATTGGTCAGCATTACCGCGGTGCTGACCAATCAGAAGCTATCTAACCCATACTATTATCCCTGCACTGACAGGAGAGAAAACCCTGCAAGGATTACAGGGATACATCTTCAGCATTGCAGTGACTTTCTCTCCTCTCTTATAGCTGAGAATCCGCAGCATCTGCCTCCACCCTCTGATGGCCGACACCAATTTATACATCCCCACAAGCCTTTCTCTCTCACTCTCAGCTCAGCATGGGATCAGTGCAGGGAGGTTTTCCACACCGCTCCTGTGTGAATAGCATTCCTGTTCAAATCTTGCTATTCTTTGCGGTGCAATGTGCATACATTTTTTGTATTGCCGTAAATCGCACCGTAAAGTATCGGTTTGGGTATTGGGAGCATTTTCATGGGTTCTCGTGAAAATACTCGGTAATGAATATCAGCCCACTGTGGGAACAAAATAGGTTATCAGCCGTGCTACTTATATACATTGATCAGCCATAACTTTATGACCATCGACCTAATATTGATTACATACCCCTTTTGCTGCCAAAACAGCCTTGACTTGTCAAGGGTTGGAAGCCACCAGACCTCTGATGGTATGTTATGGTATCTGGCACCAAGCTGTCAGTAGCAGATGCTTTAAGACCCATAAGTTGTGAGGTGGGGTCTACATGGATTGTACTTTTACAGCACATCTCACAATGCTCAATTGGATTGAGATCTACATAATTTGGCGACCAAGTCAACATGTCAAACTTTGCTTCGTCGTGTTCCTCAAACCATTCTAGATCCAGTTTTGCAATGTGGTAGGGCACATTATCCTGCTGAAAGAGGCCACTGCCATCAGGGAATACTATTTCCATGAACAGGTGTACTTGGTCAGCAACAATGTTTAGGCAGGTGGTACATGTTAAGTAACATCCAAATGAATGGCAGGACCCAAGGTTGCCCAACAGAACATTTCCCAAACCATCACTCTGTCTCCACAAACTTGCCTTCTTCCCATGATACCATCTTCTCCCCAGGCAAAGGACACACACGCACCCAGACATTCACATGATGTCCATGAAAATATGATTCATCAGACCAGGCCACCTTCTTCCATTGCTTCGTGGTCCAGTTCTGATGTTCACGTGCTCATTGTAGGTGCTTCTGACTGTGGACACGGGTCAGCATGGGCACCTTGGTCGATATGCGGCTATGAAGCCCCACACAAAAACTGCAATGCCCATTTTTTTCTGATTTCAACACATCAACTTCAGGGACAACATGTTTACTTGCTGCCTAATATATCTCACCAACTTTCAGATACCAATTTAATACCCCCTCCAAAAAACAATTAATCATTGCTATTCATGTAACCTGTCACTGGTCACAAAGTTATGGCTGATTGATGTATGGGTTTTAGGGGGTTTTAAATGTGTTTGTGTTTATTCTTTGTCCATTTATAATAAAAACTTAATTTGATAGTTTTGTATAAAAAGTCAAGTTAATGGTCTATCAGGCATATTTAAGGGAATGAAATAAGATCATTTTAAACAATTTCTTCACCCTGTTTGAAAAAAATTAAAAGTCAGCAGCTACAAATACTGAAACTGCTGACTTTTAATTAAAAGGATACTCTTCAGTCCAGGAGTCCAGTGCTGTCCTCACCTGAACTGATTCTTCACTGGGCTTTGGGTTTACAGTGCTGACATGTTTACTGTGGGCAGCCAACTATGATTCCTTGTGGCTTCAAAGCCGGCTGCCCACTGTGCATGTATGAGCCACGCTGCACTTTATGAATGTTCCTGCAGTCTTCTGGGACCTGCGGCGACCTGGGGGAAAGAAGAATTTCCGGAGAATCTCTGCGGTGATCTGACCAGAAGTGGGTACCTGTCAAAAGGTACCTGCCCCCTCCCCCCAAAAAAAAAATGACAAAAACAGAAGAGTAGGGTGGCATAAAACGAAACTTACCTCATAGGGTGAAGTGGTTGTTATTTAATTTTTAGACAACTTCAATGTCTACATCCAATCTCTTCTCTTAGTAGTCATAAGAGATTAAAGAATTATTGAAAATATTCTTAACTGTTTAAACCATAGATAAACCAAATTGTTTTATATATTTGTAAACCAAGTTATTAACAAGAATCATCTCTACCCTGTGCTACTGCATTTGTAGAGATTTTGCACATGTACTGCATATTGACTGCAGATTTACCCAAAACTTCTCCTACAGTACAAAAAACATTGACACTACATTCACCAGCTTCAAAATTCACTACCCTCACATTCACTACATTATAAATGCAGCAAATGTTGTCAGAGAATGTGCAGTGAATGCGTTAGAATGTGTTTAGATTCATGAGAGTTCTATAACTATGTCCCTTGTCTTCCTGTGCTGTAATGAGCTGTGCATTTGCTCAAAACTTCTAATGAATTTGGGAAAAAGGTCCAGAAGAAAGTTAGAAACACTCTTTCTTTCTGCATCAACTTGACTTGCATTCCCACATCCTTTACCTAAGACAAGTACCTTGTACTCCACATGGCTACTGGTTTTGAAAAGGGGGAGGGAGTAAATAAAAGTGGATGGGTGAAGCAATCAATCTATGATAAGAAAAGGTTGTGTGTTCCAGATGAATGCCTGTGCCAAAAGGGCAAATAATATTTAACACCAACAGTGTACATAAGCTTTATGAGAGACAGGCAGTAAGGGGAGGAGGTGGAGAGTGTAAATCCTAGTCTCAGTATATAGGGCAGTGTACCAAGAGGCAGAGGCTTAGTGGAAATCAAGCATGCTTTCACATTACGTGTTCAGCTAACATAACTACGAAAGCTGAAGTGAAGGGATAGCACCTATTAGACTAGAGATATTTTATACTCTATATATGTGAAAGACTTGCATAGTTGCAGAAGTAGGGAGTCTTTCTCTAATCTTCCCTTTACTATAAAGGCATAGGGAGAGCTAGGCTCTGACTTCACCTGAGATCAACTTCTTTGATCCACCTGCAGTTATAATACTCATTGTGAATCTGTATCTTTGACCTGTCATCTGAAGGAGGGTGTCTTGGAGTTAATCCCAGACTCAATAGCCACATGACAGCTTATGCTGGACCAGGTTTCTGTTAAAAGCAGGATGCTAGTTGATCAGAACCCACAGCTGCGGAAAAGCTAAAGAAAGTGGTGAGTGAAGAGAGACTTGACCCTTTGTCATCAGTCGTCATCAGCGCTTTCACCTCCGCAACATCTTTACTCTACAAGACTTTTGGCACGATGACTTCTCATTTCCAGAGAGAAGGCCTCTTTTTTTATCTGCTTACTCTGCTAGGTGCTTGGGCAGCATCTACACAGGGTGGAGGAAGGAGAAGTGAATGTCCCTCCTGTGGAGTGCAAGACAAAGATGTAATGATTGAAGTGGCTAAGCAACAAATTCTCCAGAAGCTCCATCTAAAGGAGAGACCTAACATCACTCATCCGATTCCTAGAGGAGCAGTGGTGAATGCCTTGCGCAGGCTCCATTTAACCAAGCCACGTATGGATGGCCTGTTCGGGTCCCCAAGCTGGGACAATGATGGTGTCACTTCTGAGACAGACCAACAAAGCTATGAAATCATCAGTTTTGCAGAATCAGGTAAGAACTTTTATGCAATGATTTGCATAACATAGTACTCAATAGTATAATTATTTTATTTTATTTTGTTTATTAAAACATTTAATTAAGGGTCATTTAATTAGGTATATCATGTTAACAGTTAAAGTGACAAAACAGCGAACGTTTACTTCAACTGTTCTAAATTGAAATATGTGTTTTGGTTGTTATGGGGCACTGCACTTTTCACATCTACTCATTCAGGAAGCCCCTCAATTACCCGTGCAGTACTGGATCTGTATTTTTAACAAATTTTCACTATGGAAAAAATGTAGAGCCACTAAAAAATGACAATGTTAGTGCTTGGTAGCAAAGCACTTACATCATTTTCATTGTTCTGTAGAATAGCTGTTTTCACCACACTTATACACCTTACCTAATGATAAAGATAAATACATCACTGGGCCATACAAAGGCAAACAATTTATTGAACAGCAAACAATCTTTATTGTAAAAATTACAATTTAATAGAGTATTCAAATAAACCGCCTTTAAGGGGCGTCACTGGTATCAGCCTGACCGGCTAAGCTGATGCATGAGAGTGAGGTATTTACAGGACCAGAGACAAATACACAGGACTATGACTTTGGACACACCGGGTTTCCAGACACAACATTGCATGACATAGTACATGCTATTATACTAACAAATCAACTGTGCTTGTTATTATAAAATGATGGTAATTATATGTTATAAATATGGCATCTGGTTATATAAATAAATAGATAATGTCTAAAATATTTAGCTGCATAATGTAATCCTAACTAGGCTACTCTTGTTTGTACAGTGCAAAAGTCTGCCAGAAGTCCATCAGATAATGCTGGTCGGGTTATTTTGGGACATGTAGTTCAACAACATGCCTGCTATTCAGTTACTGATATTAAAAGTCAAGGCTGTTGTATGTTAGAACAAGCTAAGTATACAGTTGAGCCATTCACGTATAGTACTTCATGTTTAATACTTCTTTATGGTGATCATAAACTCCAGTGAAATATAGTCAAATAATGGTCAAGTTAGAACAATCTAATTCAGAATATGTGTTGACAGTGCATTATTTCACCCCTTTTCACTGTCCAGGTATTGATTGTATGTTTTGGTGGAAATGTCAGTCTTGTCATCAGTTAACCACATCTTCCCATGTATGTAGTTAACTTGCAAATGTTTTCATTCTCAGTATGATTTGGAAGCTCAGAAGTGCCAAATGACTGGATCATTGGTATTTGACCAAAAAAGTGTATAGCTAAATCTATAATAAATTGGCCTGTCAAAATTTAATTTGGGTCAGGAGAGACTAGTCTATATGTGAATGAGCATAGTTAGTTGATGTGTTTCACTGAACTTCCTATAGCATCCAAAGAAACAACAGTGACATCTAAAGGCTAAGTTAGTTGTCTGATCAAGTCCCTGCAATAACATTGTAAACTTCAGTGGAATATCATTAGTGTAAATCTTCATTCACATACACATACATGTACAAATCACCTTATTGTCATTATGATGTAATGCATGGTATATAAATAAGGATGAGGTGAACAACATGGCCTGGGTTTACTGGAGTGTTTGGTGCTTGTATAGTCCACCATTCCACCTCTTTATATGGAAGTCTCTATAACTCTGGTAGCTTTATATAATTTATTTTTTTTTATATGTGCCAGAACATATTTAATCCTTTGGCTTTCATGAGACTTATTTCATTCTCTGACCTGCTATAGTAAAGAGAACCATGGTAATGCATTGGCAGATTTGAGTAACACAAGCATTTCTCCTCAACTACTTCTAAGAATGCCTGTCTTGCTAATCAGTAAATCCAGCCTTGCAAGCAGTATTTTTTTTTTTATTAGAAGCCTGCAGTGAAGAAGTATGGAGACTTCCATTGCTAACCTTTTCTTCTGAAATTGCTATTTGCCTTGGTGTTACACTGATTGCATGGCTTCATTGATTATTTAGCCACCAACCAAAACAAGTATTCAGTTGAGGAGCTTGGACTTCACTCTAACTTTAATAACTTGTTGGTCTTGAGTGAATCTTAGAAAGTCTCAGAGACAGCCAGGCAGCTAGCATTTTCAGCAGTGTCCTTATTTCTATCAGTACAGGTTTTATTATGCGGATTACAAATGTAAGATTTAAAAGGGGGTATTCCAAATGTACATTTGAAGGCATGAGGTGCATTTTTCCATTTTTGCATTTATGTGTCCTCAGTTTTTGAGCTCATAAAGTGAACCATTTACTCTTTCTTTCGTTACAGATTACAACGAATCCAGTACAAAGCTAACGTTTCAATTTGCTCGAGACAATGATCAAAATGTGCATGTTCTCCAGGCTCATCTGTGGGTCTTCTTTAAGTCAAACAGAACTGATCAGAACAGTCAGACTATTAGATTGCACATAATCCAAGAGCCACAGGGTACACGCACCCTCATCTGTGAAAAATACTTAGAGCCAAGATGGAGTGGCTGGCAAACATTTCCATTAAAGCAAATTCTCCAGGACTTTTTTGATGAAGAGAATAAAAGTCTGAAACTAGAACTTGACTGTGACGGATGTCAAAATATGCCATTCCTGGTCAATCCCAATGATTCCCACCAGCCTTTTCTAGTAGCTCAAGCAAAGGTGAAGGAAAGGAGCCATCATGTTGCAAAAAGAAGCCTCAAATGTGATCAAAACTCCAACCTTTGTTGCAGGAAAGACTATTATGTAGAATTCAAAGACATAGGGTGGAATGACTGGATAATAAAACCTGAGGGGTACCAGATCAATTACTGCATGGGACTTTGCCCAATGCATGTTGCTGGTGCACCTGGCATGGCTGCCTCATTCCACACCACGGTCTTTAATCTCATTAAGGCCAACAATATTCAGACAGCAGTGAGCTCTTGTTGTGTACCGACCAAGAGACGGCCTCTGTCCATGCTGTACTTTGATAGAAACAACAACATTGTAAAGACTGACATCCCTGATATGATTGTTGAAGCATGTGGATGCAGCTAAGGGGCAACAAGCATGTCCATACAAATATAAAAAAAAGAGAAAAAGCTGGCCTGTCTCTTACACAAGCTCCTGCCAAAATCAGGTGAGAAGAAAAGACATCTGGATAACTGAGAAGCCCCCATATGTCTTCACGATGCTTGACACACTGGATAATTTTGCAACTAACTTCTATGATGATTTAGCATGCAGAATGCCATTGACTGTGAAATTACAGAACACTGACAAAATACACAATGTCTCTTTTTCCAGGATCTCCAATCTTTTCATTTATCAATACAGCATGCTTGTGAACAATGAACAAATGTATTCCACCAAAGATTATGCACCATGTGCTATACACGTCAGTGGCTCCTATTCAAAGGGAAGCAGTTGTTAACCCCAAAGTGATGGCATTTTGCAAACGGTGTAGTTGTGGCGAAACTATGAGCTTCATTCTTTCACAATTAGCTTTAAAAACTTGGGAGCTATGTGATGCTGTATCTAAGAAATTGACAATGAAAGCCTACCCAGTTTTCTGCAATATTGTTACATTGTTAAAGTGCCAAACTAAATATCTGGAAAGAAAGATGGATTTGTGATGGACATTTTAAGCAATGCCTCCATTCCACAAGACGGTTTTATTGTCACCATAAGAAAGTTGAACGTTATTATAAAGTGCTTATTATTTTTTTTCAAGGGACCCTCTCCGCTGTTCAACTGCAGAGCATATAGTTACTTGTATACAGCACAAATTATTGTATTTTATATTATTTGTATTTTATTATTATTTTTGTTACTGAACACTGTTTAATAAACAAAGAGAAAAGAAAGAAAATGCGTATTTTATGATTTTACAGCATATATTCATACCATACAACATCATAGAACTCTGTAATGATCTTGTTTCAGGATAACTGTCATTTTAAAACACATTTACTGAATAGATAGGCCTTATTACTAGAATCCAGCTCCATCCAAAACTTTTATTTGACTACTTTTGAATAGAGAAGGAAAGGGTTAGGACCTCTGTCGGCTTGTAAATGCTGTTTGTGAATTGTTTGGGGAGATTTTTCCTGTTACTTTTTGCTATGCCTACCACCTATAACATGGATATGAAGTGAAAGCAAATCTCCACAGTGGAGACAATGAAGAGTTTTAATTTACAAATATGCCAAAAGTGTTTTTCTTTCTGTGACCCCATTGGATAGATTTCCTTTTATCGCCTGTTCTTCCTGTGGGATACCGTAACAGTAAAAACAAAACAGAGGATCTTGCTGTTCCCTACTTACTTCTTAAAGCGGAGCTCCACCCAAAAGGGGAAGTTCCGCTTTAAATAGTGCTCCCCATTAAGGATTGGCACCTTGGGGGGGGGTGGGGGGGAGCAGGTACCCAAATTTGACAGGTACCCGCTCCCACTTCTGGTCCAATCACCTAGGCGATCGAAAGCAGAAGGTGTCCTCCCTCCCTCCCTCCCTGTAGTCTTTTGGGACACGTGACAGGTCCTAGAAGACTACAGGATCATTCATGAAGCACAGCGCTACTCGCTCATGCGCAGTGGGTACCCGGACGTGAAGCCGCAAGCTGTCACAGCTGGGTGCCCACACTGAAGATGCCGGCCTCCTGGAATACAAGACAGCCGGTGAAACCGGCCGCGAGGGACACACCATGGGACCAAGGGACAGGTAAGTGGCTGTTTTTTAAAAGTCAGCAGCTACAGTTTTTGTAGCTGCTGACTTTTATTTTTTGACAGGGTGAGTGAAACTCTGCTTTAAGTAAAATAACTTGTTCATGCTGCCAAAGTCATCCCAGTAGAAGGTGAATCCTAATTTATTCCAAACTTTACTTACTAATTTTTTACAAATATAATCTCTTACCTCTGCCTTTTCTTAAGAAGCCCATACATGAATCAGTATTTTTCATTTGGCCAGTAGGTTGAACAAATTACTGACCCAATTCCCCCACTAAGTTATTGTATTCAGACAGCAGGAAAACCTCTCTGTCATCAGAATATACTGATCAGCACTGCCAGCTATATCTGGCAGTATTGATTGAGTAGCAAAAATCTGACATGGCAGTTGTACAGAAGTTGATCAGTAGATCGACTTCTGTACAACCACCCTGCTCATGCTTGGATCGAAATTCAGCTAGTCCCTGCTGAACCAGCTGAATTTCAATCCATGTATGGCTGGCTTTGCCGCTTGCCTTTAAAGGTGTCATTACCAAATGAGTGTAAGCATTGCACTGTTTATATTTGGCCTGTCTGAAGTCTGCACTGTAAAGTTTTAAAAAAAAAAAAAGCAGACCTACAAATCAGGAGTGAGAACAAAGGAGGCATCAGGGATGCCTCTGTATTTGGGAAGGGGGAGATGAACAGGGCCTCATTAAGGTTAACCAGTTCCCAACCGTGCTATACGGAAGGACGGCTACAGCGCAGTTATGGAATCCTGGGATGACATCCATGGGCGTTATTCCAGAACCCGCCCCCCTGCGTGCCCCCAGCAGCGTGCACCCGCCACCCGGCCTTTTACCATGTGATCAGCTGTGTCCATTGACACAGCGATCACCAGGTAAATACAGTTGCTGGTTCTCGACTGCACATTCCTCATGCTGTCACAGCATGAGGAAAGTACTGCCAAGAACTGGCAGTTGTCAGCAAACGGATCAGCACTGATAATCAGGACACTGATGATCAGTGCCCAGCAGTGCCACCCACCTGTTCCCAGCACTGCCGACAACCTGTACCCATCAATGACACCCACCTGTGCCCATCAGTACCACCCGCATGCCCTGCAGTGCCACCCACATGTGCCTAGCAGTGCCAACCATCAGTGCCACACACCTTTGCCCATCAGTGCCACCCACCTGTTCCACTCAGCAATGCCACCCACCTTTGCCCTGCAGTGCCAACCACAGGTGTCCATCAGTGCCAACCATATGTGCCCACCTATTAATGCTGCCTATCAGTGCCCATCAGTGCTGCCTATCCGTGCCACCTCAACAGTGCCCATCAGTGCTGCCTATCCATGCCCATCAGAACTGCCTATCAGTGCAGCCTCATCAATGCACATCAGTGAAGGAGAAAAATTACCTGTTTGCATAATTTTATAATAGATACAAAGACATTTTTTTTCAAATTTTTTGCTCTTTTTTTGTTTATACAGCAACAAATAAAACACCCAGCACCTAGTAAATACCACCAAGCAAAAACTCTATTTGTGTGAAAAAAATTATACAAATTTCATTTGAGTGCAATGTTACATAATGCCGTAATTGTCATTCAAAGTGCTACAGTACTGAAAGCTGAAAATTGGCCTGGGCAGGAAGGGGGTATAAGTGCCCAGTAGGCAAGTGGTTAAGCAAGGACTGCTTTCTTCCAGCACCCAGGGACATCACGTGTGTGGCCCTGCCCCTTGTGGCGTCATCAACTGAAGCATGCTGGGTCAATGATGTCACAAGGATGTGAGGCCACACGCGTGATGTCACTGGGTGGCCGCGCCCCTTACGCCCCTTACATTTTTAAGAACTGTCAAGCCAGCGGAGCAGTCAGACAGCCAGGAGCCAGCATCGGAAGCAGAGCCTTTTTTCTTTTTTCAGCGGAGGGCATCGTGATTGACTTTGGATCTACTTTGGGGGAGATTCTTTTATTTTTCTTATTTTAATAAACGACTTGTCAAAGACTGTCTCTAGTTTTTTTTCACACTACACTTTTTTTTTGTGAATGGGTAGCGGTACCATGTACCCAATACTCATTCACATGGGGAGGCTGGGATCTGGGGGCCCCCTTTCTAAAGGGGGTTTTCAGATTCCGATAAACCCTCTGCCCGCAGACCCCGCAACCACAGGCCAGGGTGGTGGGGAAGAGGCCCTTGCCCCTATCAACATGGGGACAAGGTGCTTTGGGGGGGACCCCCCAAAGCACCCCCATATGTTGAGGACATGTGGCCTGGTATGGTTCAGGGGGGTGGGCACTTGCTCACTCCCCCCTTTCCTGACCTGCCTGGCTGCATGCTGGGTCAAAGGGTCTAGTATGGATCTTGGGGGGGACCCCACGCCATATTTTAAAATTTTGGCATGGGGGTTGCCCTCAAAACCCATACCAGGCCCGAAGAGCTTGGTATGAATGGAGGGGGACCCATGACGTTGTTTTATTGTTTTTTAAATTATTTTTAATGCCCTTTCTATGCTGCTGAAGAGCTGCAATATGTAGGTGGGATGTTGTGTGGGTGTGGCTTTGGCTTGAGTGTAGGCGGAGGTACAGGGGGGCCCATTATCTCTTATTGCCCGGGGGCCCATGAGTTGTCAGTCCACCCCTGGTGCCAGTACAAAGAAGATTGAAGTTTTGTTTTAAAACACTACAATAGAAGGCAAAGGCAGGAGATTATATATGCAAGGTTGCTTGGTGTTCCTGGATATTTTAAAGGAGTTAATATGCTGTAGAAGTACATTTATCCTACATTTACAGCCATAGGTCATGAGAAGCCAATCCACTCAAAAGTAATATGGCAGTTTTCATTACATGCTGGTGCATTGATTCAACTCACAATTTCTTATAATCCCAGGAACTCTAATAGAAATATTTTGGCTCCTAAAATGCCAAACATTACATTCTGGAGAATGTAGCAGAAAACTTAGTGGGAAGGCAAAGCCATCAGCAGCAGAAAAGACGACCAACCAGTTAAGACGATCAACCAGTTGAGAACTCAACCCACCACAATCTACCCATGACAGTTCTGGGTGAACTGACCTGTTAACGTTTTTGCCATATAATACTATTATAAAGATATTGATGACAATTTTTAAGAAGCATGATGGTTTGCAGTAATTTATTATAGCCAGTTCAAGTTCTTATTTTTTTTCATAATAAGCAACACATTTGATTGTTTAAAAAGCATTATAGCATAACGCCCCATGTTCTGTTCTTGGTTTTGACCACAGGGGCAAAAATAATGTAAAGGAGACATAGTAAATAAAAGTGAAAGGGAAAGTGAAGGAGGACAACTGGGAGACAATAAGATGGAGCA